TTTTTTTTTTTTTTTTTTGTACCTGGGATTGAACTCTGGACCTTGCACTTGGGAAGCAGGCAGCGGTGCCACTGAGCTAACTCCCCAGCCTTCACTGTGTTTGATGCCACTAGTAGTCCATTAAATGTTAGGTGGTGATAGATGGGAAGCTGTTTGCTATGGTGGGTCTTTTGGAATGTGTCTCAATCTTTCTTAATAACAGTTTGCACTTCACGAACCATGGTCTTGGGGCTATTGGTATTTTTATAAAATGAAATATGTGTTTCTGAAAGACACATCTGGCAGGTGTTGAAGCATAGAACTGTGGAAGATTGAAAATTCTGCCATTGGATAGTCATTCAAGTACATTTTTTTAGCAGAATAGATGTATTGAATTCTTTTAGATATTGAGCTAAAATATTCCCTTAAATCAGCCTCCTTGTCCTTACCTGCTTTACTGTTTCTGTTTGCACTATAAGAATAATAAAAACAGTGCTGCAGAACATTGTTGTATTTGCTTTCTTTTAATGTCCATATGATAATATTAGTTTGTAGAATAGCAGAAGATATTTTTGGACTTTTGAGTATAGTAGTGCAGGCTCACAGCTGATTGAAGAATTTCTCCATGCCTGAAAAGACAAGAAGCATGTTCACTACTAGGTTTCCTTACTTCTGATTCCAGCTGGTTTATCTCTGGGCAAAGCTGCTGTAATTTGTGGTGTTGATTAGGACCTTAGTTCATGTTGCATATTAAAGCCTGAAGCTGATTTTATTTGCTTATTTTTATCTATCAGTTAATTGGAGAGTATAATTCTGTAAGATCATTTGGAGATTTAACTATTAAATTTAATTATGTGTTTGGAGTAGGTTAGCACCACCACAAAGCTGATTTTCTTTTATAACTTTGACCTTCAAAACTTTTTTTTTTTTTTTTGGTAGTACTAGGAATTGAATCCAGGGACTTCACACTAAACTACATTCCCAGCCCTTTTCTAATTTTTAAATTTTGAGTCCGGGTTTCGTTAAGTTGCTCTGGCTAGGTTTGAACTTAATATTTTCCTGCTTCACCCTTCCAGAATGCTAGTATTACAGGTGCCACCATACTCAGCTTCTACAAGAGTTTAGTGTAAAATGTTCTGATGTTTCTTTTAAAATATCAGCCAACTCATCTAAAGAAATTTATACTTTCAGGTTAGGGATGTAGCTCAGTGATTTAGTGTCTAGCAGGCCCAAAGTCCTGTGTTCCATCCCAGCAGCAAAAATAATTACCAATAATAGGAAAAAACCTTATAGTCCAGAGTTTTGGCTTACTTCTGCTTTCATCTTCCTATGGCTTATTTGTAGCCTGGAAAGACTAGTGTTGGGATAGCAATAGAAAGGGTCCTGGATGTTGAGTGTCTTAGTGCATGCCTGTAATCCCAGAGGCTGAGGCAGGAGGATCATAAGTTTGTGCCCCGCTTGGGCTCTTTAGCAGCATAGCAAGACCCTGTCTCAAAATGGAATAAGGATTAAGGATGTAGCTCAGGCCCTGGGTTCAATTCCCAGTATCACCCCCAAAAAAGAGTGAGCATGCTGCACATGCCTATAGTCCAGAAATGAAAGATCATGAACTGTATTTAGGAATATTCAGGGAGTATCCTTAACTATTGTACATAACAAAAGGCTTCTCTCGTCCTTCATAGAAGTCCTGATAAATCTGTTTCTGAATGTGGACCTTCTTACATTAACTGTTTTCCTTAATTTTAGGAAGATCCTGCTTTGACTCGTTGGACCTACGCGAGATCAGCTAATGTCTATCCCAGTTTCAGACCCACTCCTAAAAACTCACTGATAGGAATTTCATTTGGACTTGGGCCCCTCATCTTCTGGTACTATGTTTTCAAAATGGATAGGGTAAGTATTACCATCAAATGTTTAATCTTAGTCTCTGTGTGATAGGCTTCCTGGGCAAGTGCCAGATGTAGCTCTTTATTTTGATAATTGCCACCAGTGGCTCCCTGCCCACCTCAGCCCTAGACTTGGCCTTCAAGGTCAGTCTCTCTCTCAATCTCTCTCTCTCTCCCTCCCTCCCTCCCCCCATTTCTCTCTCTCCCTCTCCCTCTCCTTCACCCTCTCTCCCTTCCCCTCCTTCCCTTGCCCCCTAACTTCTTTGTGTTTGAGTCAGGCTGACCTTCAACCTACAATCCTCTGTCAGCCTCCTGAGTGTTGGGATTACAGTCCAGTTGTGTGCCGTGAAACCAGACTCCCTCTTTCTCTTTTATCTTTATTCCTTTATAGTCAGAGTTAAAACATGTTTTCAGTTATGTGTTTCATTGTTTTTTTGTTTTGTTTTGTTTTTTTTGAGACAGGGTCTCACTATGTAGTTGAGACTGAGCGGGAACTCACTATGTAGCCCAGGCTGGTCTCAAACTCACAGTGATCCTCCTGCCTCAGCCTCCCAAGTGCTAGGATTACAGGCGTGCACCACCACACTCGGCTATGTGTTTGGTTTTATTGCTTTGTTGTTTTAATTCATACAAAAATATATTTTGTTAAAAATCATGGTAGTCACTGGATCTTTCAAATTTAATTTTACTCCTGGTCCACAGTTTAAAGTAATGAAATTGGTCATGTTAAATTGCTCTAAGATAAATTTACCTCATGAGTTTTCTTGGTGGATTTAAAAAAATAATATAAGGAAAGTAGACAGTAGTTATTAAGTTACTTTTTTCTCATTAGAAGAAATTAAACTGTTCTATTGTGATTAACCTTTAGGTTTTATTTTTGCAGAATTTTTAGCTTCCTTTGTTCATTTGTTTTGAAAAGAGATGTTTATTGGCTCACATATTCACAGAATACATAAATCATTTAGCATGTTCCCCTTTTGCATGAATTCTGGTTATGTTGGCCACGTTTTATGAATTAATGTTAAAATGTATTAATAAACAAGGAAGAAGCAAAAGTGTCCTGGGCTGGGAGTCACCTTTGTCAGAGGCCTCCTGTGATTTTAGAGAAACAAGGTTATCTCTGCACTACTAGCCCAGCCTACTTCTGCTCTGGTACCCTGGCCTCATCCCCAAGCCTGCTGCTGCAACCATATTGGAGCACTGTAGTCTATCTTGGTCTTGAAATGGCCATCCCACTCTTCTGTTAGAGCTGGTATCTTCGGTTACATGATAAATTGGGCACACTTTCCCAGAAGGTGTTTGTGTTTTGCTTTCAATGTATGCTTTTTAGTGAGTAATTTATTTCTAATTACTAGAATATAGGTAGTTTTGAGTAGGAGCATTTTCTTATTGTCTCTTTAGTTCTTCAGATTACTGCTTCCACTCCCTGGGCTTTAGATGGTGCGATTGCCATTAAGTTTGGAATGTTTTATTCTGATTTTTAGATCTGTACTATGGGTTGTGCTACAATGCTTTGTTTTTCATCTGCTGTTTTTCTGTTTTTACAGGACAGGAAGGAAAAGCTTATCCAGGAGGGAAAATTGGAACGGCCACTTAATATCTCATATTAAATCTGGCAAAGAAAACTGTTTTCTTGCATAAAGCTTCTGCTAAAGGCTGGGCATGGGGGTGCATACCTGTAATCCTAGCACTTCGGAGGCTGAGGCAGGAGGATTGCTGCAAGTGTGAGGCCATTCCGGGCTACTTAGTGAGTTCAAGGCCAATCTAAACTACATAGTGAGACCCTGTCTCAAAAAACCAAAAAAATAAATCTCCTATTAATCATTAAATATTTTGTCTTCATATTACTTTGATTCAGTGTTAAAACTTAATAACACCTCAGCAACAGAAGCAAATCAACCTGTGCTGGGAATCACTGCCATTGGAAAGATGGCTAACATTCGTTCAAGAATCTCTGCTTTCCAAGAGCTTGCAGTTTAATAAAGAAAAAAATTTATATGTACTCATTAACCATTCAACAAAGAGCATTAACTGTGAGTCAGGCATTGTGCTAAGTGCTGAGAATACAGTATATCAGACACATAGTGCCTGTGCATAAGGAATACAAACCACTGTACACTGAGTTACTGGAGTGCTTAGTTCATATCTGATTGTAATACCTAAGTCATACGAAAGCAGCAGAACAGTAGTCACAGTATAAGAAAGATTGAAAAAAAATGCTGTATGGAAGCTGATAAGAAAGTTTAGGGAGATGGTATCTGATCTAGGCTGCGGTGTTGACAGGATGAAACAGCGTGAAAGGGCAAGGTCTGTAGAGTGGCTAAGTTAAAGGCCTCAGAAAGTGGAGAAGATGTGTGGTGGAAGTCATGCTGAGTAACAGGTGTAATGCTTAAGGGCCTGGGCTTTGGAGGTCAGATCTGGAGGTCAGACAGTTAGCTCAAATGTAGCAGTTGGAATTTTAGGCCTCCATTTCCTGATCTGTAGCATGGAGATAGTAAGCCTACTAACATAGAAGGTTACGAAGATGAAGCTCCAAAGGCAGTTGCTGTAAATAAATAGCATGTTCTGTAGGCCTCACATATAAGTATGTTGGTCTTAAATTTAGAAGCATATGTGCTATTTAATTCTGTTATTAGTCTTTGTTACACCCCAAAGGCACAACCTGAGAGGAAGGCTTATATGCAAGTAGTTAGGATCTGAAAGAAGAGGGGTGGGAGACTGAGAGGAGGGAAACCCATCAAGTATGTGCTGCTGACCTGTTGCTTCAGAGTGATGGGCTACCACGAGGGGTCTCAGGAGCCCTGTGGAATGTACACAGAATTTTACCTCCAAACGTGGAAAAAGAAAATACTTATCCTGTTTCCATTGGTCAGAAGTTACCTCATGGAATTTCCTTCTACTATGTGAGGGTGTAGAATGGCTGATTGTTCCTACATCATTCATGGAAGAAAGAAATGTAGGGCCAAATTACAATTCATATCCCTTGTTATTTGGATCTGCTTGTGCATGCATTGAATCCAATCTGTAATTTGTCCTTCAAGGTTATGGCTATGTACAATCTACACAACACTAGAGAAGGGTTAGTAGAACAAGTTATGGTCTACACTGGAACTGGCTGGGAGGCCCTATCTGATAGCACCATCTCTCCCAACCATACTTGTATATGTAACTTACTTGGCCATGACTTAAGTAGAACTTGGTGGCTTCTGGATGGAATCGCCAACATCTTCATTTCTAGCCTTACTGTGGCATCAACAGGCTTCTGTTACAGCCATTGCCTACTTACAGTTACCCTGGAAATGGAACCACTGAGATGCTCCAGTGAATGCCTAAGCTCCAGATGTTTCTAGTCCACATTGTGTAATTGTAACCCTTACTCTTTGTAATCTGTATTGCTGCTGCCAATACCCAAAGCTTTTTGGTCTACTCTTACCAGATAAGAAAAGCCCAAATGCTGAAGAGGTAGAGATATAGATTGTTTCTCTGATAAAATATTCTTCCCATACCGACAGGGTGAATCAAGGCTTACTCATTAGAACCTAAATTTGTAGAGGAGGGAGGCATTTATTCCACAAATTAGTCACTGGGATGGCCAGTCCTATTTCCTCTTGAATTTTAGCTAATGGGTCATAGCACAGTGTTTATGACCGTGGTTCTTTGAATTTAACACATGGTCAACCCTGTATCAACCCTGCAGGACATTGTCCCCAAGCTGGTACCTTAGCTAATCCTTTAATAGGCTTAGGTGTACTCACTTGAGCCTTCAAGGTGCTGTGTTCACTTGACAACATGACTCAGTGCCTCTGACGTGCAGATCATGATGGGCAGCTTTGGTTAAATGGTCACATGATCCCATGGTGAGTGCTTAGCTGCTTTGGGGATGGTAAATTTTCCTTTGTTGCAGCAGGCATGGCCTTGATTCCAAACCTTAGGAGTGTGCGACTATCCTCTTGCCAGGATCCTGCAGCGACACCAAACAGCATCCCAGTTTACCACGGATACTTGAGTATTGGATCTGCTGTGTTACATGACCAAAGTAGCAGCTGTTTACCTTGCAGCTCGGACCCACACAACCCTCTGTGGGTTACACTTAAAACTAGGGGCTTTATGAATCACTACATATATGGGACACAGCAGTGTTCTCTAGCAGGATATGTGTTACCTCCAGAGTTCAGTGACTAACCCACAAGGGGCTGTGCCTCCTTAGATGGAAGGGGTATGAAATGGAACAATCAACCCTCTTCTTGGAGGGAGTGTCCTGACACACTGAATACCGCTGGACCCTTATGAATATCATTGATGTTCCCATGAGGGTCCCAAAGCATTATACAAAGTGCCTCCCACTTTCTGCTACCTCATACAAAGGCACTGAAGTAATGAGGAACCTAATATATGAAAGATCAGAAACTGAGGCAAAAATAATAGCACGAGAAAGAAGAATTCAAAGTGGCCAGGGCAGTAGACACCTGAAGTAGCTGTGTGTAATGGCAGAATGCTGGAGAGCTATGATGTTTCTCTAAAAGAGTCTTCAAACCAGTGTAGATTTTTTGCTACCATCTCATGCCAGTGAACTTTGGCTGAATCATGTGATTCCTGTTTGCTAACTTGCCCCTGCCAGTATAATTATAACTAACTACCCCCCTTCCTCCCCCACCACTTTTAATGGCTATTGTTCTTAAATCATTTTCTAGATCTCAAAGAATTGTATTATTTTATTCTAATTTTACCAGAGGGCAAAAATGGAATCTTTCCTAGATCTTCAGTCTTCTTTTAAAGCTGACTTTGTGTTTTTTCTTTGTATGCAAATGTATGCATCTCTTATAAGAAAATCTTAAGTAAGAAAATAAGATAAAAATCACTCCTAATTCCCTCACATAGGGATGACATTTTGGTACATATCCTGAAGTGTTTTTCCCACCCTGTGTTTATATGTATTTTTTTCAACAAAATGAGATCCACTGTACAAAATAATTTATAAATTTGTGATCAAATGATTTGTCATGAACATTTTTCCATGTAATAACTCTTCTATGACATTTTTAGTGGCTGCTAATACTATTCTATTGCATGCATGTATGCATCTATTATAATTTACTTAGTCCTTATGATCAATATAAGGTATGGCCTTGCAGGTGAATTTTTGTGTTTGCCCCTAACTTTTATCATAGGATACATTTCTAGGAGTAGAACATCTGGGTCAACAAAAAGGCAAATGTTTTCGATATGTTATACAGGTTTTATAACTTTGTGTTCCCAAGCAATGAATAAGGAGCCTATTTACTATTCTTTTCAATGATGTAACAGAGCATACTGGTTAGAAGTGGTCTCTGAAGCCAGACTCTGCCTTTGCATCCCTGCTCTGCCACTTGCTACTGAAATGACCTAAAAATAGTTAAATTATCTTGCCTCAGTTATCATACCTTCCTAAAAAGATACTTCCAGTATTGTTTGGTAAGTTATTACTTATGAAGAACTTAGAGCAGTTATATACAGATTTAGTGTTTACCATGATTACTTTTAAGCATGATGAAATATTTTAAATTTGCATTTCATTTATTACTGAGTTAACATTTTTTCCTATATTTTTGTCCATTTATTTTTGTCCATTTATTTTTGTTATTTGTTCAAACTCACTGTCTATTCTGATGCAATAGCATCTTTGTAATGATTTTAAGGTTTAAGCAAGATAAAGATCAATCTTTCATCAGGAGTTCCTGTAATATCCCTTACTAACAGGAAAAAGTATTTATATAGTACCGGTTGAAAGAATGCACTATCCAGGGAAATTCTGTATGGTAGGAACTTCTAAAGCATTTTTATAAAATTATTTTTATAGAATTATTGACCAGTGTGTTCTAGAGAATGTGATCAATTTCAAAAGATTTTTTTTTTTTTTTAGTATCCAACAACAACATCCTACATTACACTGAGTAGTTGATAAGGACACCAATTGCTACCTTGTCTGAGCTCCAAAATCTGCCATCTGTCTGGCTGATGCTGCTAGCCCTGGGCACCGAAGCCCACACTGGTACTGCTGAGCATCGAAAAAGATGACAAGTGTATAATGAAGGCCAGAAACCAGATCATACAGCCCTTGTCACACAAAGAGAGTCCAGGGTGATTTTAGTGAGGAGCCAGCCTTGAAAGTGTTAAACAATGCCAACCTGGTTAGATTTGCACACCTGGAAGCTCACTCTGGTTCCTGGGTGGCATATTATTGCTCTGTTCCAGGGCAACAGAGGCTGAAGGAAGACCAGCAATCAGGCTGTTGATTGGCCATTCTTGAGACAGCCCTCAATGCAGAACAATGCAGCCCCTGCCAATCCCAGGATGAGTCATCTGGATATGAACTTGTCAAAAGCTTTATGAAAGTATAAATATATTATCTCTATTAGCTCTTCTTTACGCACATGCGTGAGGCGTTCCTAATTCCTTATCCTTTTATGACATCCCCTGTGCTTCTCTGGAACGGTATTGCTCCCATGACAGGCTGGTTTGTTTAAGTACTATGTCTTTTTACCCTTTAGCACAGATCCTGCCAGAGAAGAAAAGATCACACTTATGTTCTGATTACAATCCCATTGGGTCCAGTCCCTGATTTCCTTTATGTTTTCTCATTCCTAGTGGTACCTGACCCAGTCTGCTACTCATAACTTTGGAGGAGATACAGAATATTTGTTGTCTTTCTCTGATATTTGTCAGAGAATCGGGTGCTTGAAGACATTAGAAGTCTGCACAAGAGGCTGTTTTGATCAAACCTGCATGATAGCAAAATATGGACAGTAGAATTACTAAAAATATAGTTCTAAAAACAGTATTACTAGAGTCTGGCTATAAAAAATAGCTATTAAAAAATGGCTACTGCCATTTTCTATCTTTTATGAACAAAAAAAATTTTATCATGTTTCCATCTTTCTTTTAGAGGAGACATTTGTACTAGTAGCTATTATTCTACCACTGTTCCCCTCTGGCTTGGTGACTGCATTTTTCTGGCTGAGACAGGGGCTCCTTGTTTGCTTATATTCACTGTGGCCTGGAGAAAAGCCAAGCCTCATCATCTATGTGGAGACCCTTAATTTTGATTTACCAAGAAAGTGCAGTGTGAATTGATATCTCATGGCCAAGTTTCATATTCAAAGGATTGAGGAAAGCTCAACATTTGACCCCTGGCCTCTGAATTTCCCTTGAGATGGATGCCTGGTTGGAATGTCAGATTTCTGGAGCAAATCTGTTACCAGAGTTCAAATTTACTTTCTGCCCATAATCACAAAAAAAACATCACCTTAGTTTGGAGTCAACTCTTTACATCTATCACCAATTACATTTAAATCATTCATCACTTACAGTTATGCTCCAAAAGAATCTTGGGACTGGGAAAAGGAAGAACCTGGCAGCTGCTGGTACAGAAAGCAATATAGGAGAGACTTGGGGGCTACAATCTGGTGTGACATTCTGGAGGGGAGGAGGAAAGGGGGAGAAGAAAAAGCAGAGGAAATTTCTTGAATATTTGTCAAATACTTTTTTAAAAATATCACAATTTAAAACACAAAGTTTTCTAAAGAGAGTTTTATTCCTATTTTATATAAGATGAAGGATGGCAGATTAGAGCTAGCAGTACTCATGAGACACTTGGAGGTCACTTGCCAGGATGCGTAGGTACTAGAAATGTGTGAAAAAAAAAAATCCAGGTATAGGAAGGCAATTTAAATGAAGAACACAGCAGACAATATCCTGTCTACAGGGAAAAGCAGGGTCTTTTCTTAGCTTTACAACTGCTCACAGCTCAGCTCCAGCTAATAAATTATCTAACCCCTGGAAGGATGAAGCTGAGGCAAGAGGGAAGAAATCCAGCAAAACAGTGGCTCTGGCAGCTGCAACTGACACCCAAGGGTGGTAATTCGAGCCATCAGAGTGAAAATTAGAGCCCAGTTGGTCCTAAACCAAGCCAGGAAGTGTTGATGAGCTCCCTTCCCACTGAAAGGTGGGGCCCAGAAAACAAAATATTTGCAGGAAGGAGAGCTCTCTGATTAAGGTACTAAGGAAAGGAGGGGACAGAAAATCAATCAGAATGTGGCAACTAAGTCCCATCCTTGGGACAGAACAAAAGAAGTTCTTGGGATGGAAAGAAACCAGGGCTTAATTCTGGATAGGGCCTGAGAGGCAGGGGCACGCAGTGGCTGTGACCTGTATGATTCAAGGATGGAGAAGAGGCACTAGAGTGATACTACCAGTACAATGGCCACATTTCCACCTAGACTTCAAATCCCATAAAATTCTGTGCCTTCTTGTGCACTGCCCCACTTTCCAAATACCCAAGAATCCAGCAATCACATGTGCGTGATCCCTCTGGTCACAAAGACTGATCAGTTAGAAGTCCAAGTGAGCATGTTCCCATTGCTTTCTTGACTTTGCTGAGATCCACGCAGAAGAAACCTTCCTCACAAAGCTCTGGGCACCATTAAACTCCTGGCTGGTGAGAAGTTATGAGAGGGTAGACAGAGAACTTGGAGAAGGTCTAGCTGAGGGAGTCGCAAGGCCTGCCATCTGCAGAGGCAGAGAGGGAGCAGAAGTAAACAACAACAGGAACTGCCACAGAGAGAAAGGGGCTAGGAACACAGAACCTCCAAATTGAAATCTGGAAAATTGAGTGCTTGACCAGTCCTACCGTCCACACACTCTGCTCCAAACTAATCGAAGACAAAATGTCTGGCTAGTCACACCACAGGAGCACAGCTGAAAGCTAAAAAAAACCCTGTACCCCTGGAAAGGACTCTGCTTTTTCATCTCTGCAATGTACATAGCAGAGAATAAGAGTTAATTAGTGTTTTATGATCAGAGTATAGTAACCCCCACCAAAAATTGTGTACTGAGGACTCAAATACAGTTCAAACACAAGCTGTCAGTTTATTAACTGGTTCCAGACCTCCTACAGGTTTGATCAATCTCCAGTCATACTTTCCT